AGAGAGCGGGCCCGGCAGCTGGAAAGGACTGAACGCCTTGTTTTTGAAACTGTCAATTCCCTCAACCCCTATTGTGAGGGCTTCATGCAAAACATCTCAGGCCTTTTAAAGTAGGAGCTTGTGAGGCCGCCACAGTTTGAAAAGGAGCGAGAAAGGAGCAGGGGCCTAGGGCTTGGGCTAAGAATGATAGCGGAGCCCCCCTCCCTTTTTCTTTCTTTCTTTCTTCTTCTTTTTTTTTTAATAGCAAAAGAGGGTCTGCCAAACAGGTAAAATGCTGCCCTCCCCCACCTCCTAGCTCGGCCCTACGTCCCCACCCCCAGGCTAGTTTGCAAAACGCCCTTTGGCCTAGGGAGCAAACCAAAATCAAAGCTCGCATTAAAAATAGTTTTTCCAGGAATGGGAAAATCCCAGGGAAGACCAGGGCGAGCGGGTGGACTCCCCAAGGTGAATGCCCTGTTCCTCCATGCCAATTTCCTGAGGTTAGCTGATGGGGAGCCTTTAATTTTTACCCCTAATAAGTCACAAAGACACTGGTTTCTCACCTTGCAAAATGGCGGCATTTACACATCTTTCTGGTGGTGATGGTGGTGGTGGCCCAGGCCAGACAGCGGAGGGCTGCCCTGGGTCACCGCGGGAATTTATATTGGTTCACACAAACACTCCATCCATGCTTTTGATCCGGCCCTCCGGTCCAGTTTAAGAACCCGTTGTGGCCCTCGAGTCAAAAAGTTTGCCCACCCCTGGGATAGATCCTCAGTCTGTGGACTCAAGGGTCCCAGGTTCCAGTTCGGTCAAGGGCATGTACCTTGGTTGCGGGCACATCCCCAGTAGGGAGTGTGCAGGAGGCAGCTGATCGATGTTTCTCTCTCATCAAAGTTTCTAACTCTCTATCCCTCTCCCTTCCTTTCTCTAAAAATATCAATACAATATATCTTTTTTAATGAGCCATACTGTCTGGGTAAAAATGGACTCTTATAAAGAATGTTCTTTGGTTCATTACAGCTTTCACATGTGTGCAGGGGATAAGGAGCAGGGGCCTAGGGCTTGGGCTAAGAATGATAGCGGAGCCCCCCTCCCTTTTTCTTTCTTTCTTTCTTCTTCTTTTTTTTTTAATAGCAAAAGAGGGTCTGCCAAACAGGTAAAATGCTGCCCTCCCCCACCTCCTAGCTCGGCCCTACGTCCCCACCCCCAGGCTAGTTTGCAAAACGCCCTTTGGCCTAGGGAGCAAACCAAAATCAAAGCTCGCATTAAAAATAGTTTTTCCAGGAATGGGAAAATCCCAGGGAAGACCAGGGCGAGCGGGTGGACTCCCCAAGGTGAATGCCCTGTTCCTCCATGCCAATTTCCTGAGGTTAGCTGATGGGGAGCCTTTAATTTTTACCCCTAGTCTGGCTCTAGAAACTCCCTTTTTCACATCCTTTTCAGGAGGAAGTTATTTGTAAGGTGAAGCAAAACTCACCACATTTTTTTGTCTTTTGTAGATGCTAATGCTTTATTTTTTAATGTGTGTTTTTTAAAAACATGAGGATTCTCATTTTCTTTGAAAGAAAAAAAAATGCTTTTGAGGAATTAGTCTACATCTCTCCTGCATGCAAACAAAACTATCATTCTCATATCAGCAGAAACTTCCAATTCTTGGGACTGGAACTTTGAGGAATTTCTACAGTCACCCAGACACAGATAAGATAAAAATCCACACACCAGCCCATCTAGTTTGTGTTATTGCTGTTTAGTGGTGGCTCCTTGTTGTTGATTTTAAAATAAACAACCATTATTGAGATTACTCCACTGTAATCAAGTAAGCCAGTAGGAAAGAACACCCACTTTAAAAAGTAAATCATTGAATAAGAGCAAGCTGCCTTTTCCAGAAAAGGCAGATAACCTGGCTGTTGAAGACAGACTACACACATCTCTTTAAAAAATAATTAAATCTTCATCTCACAATCTTATTAGGAAACTACTTTTCTAGGAGACCCAAAATAAGCTTCTTTCCTCAAAAAGTCAGAGAAAGAGCCCTTTCCTGCATTTTCCTCCTGTCTTTAAGTGTTGAGCTTTAGACACAGGAATCAACACTCAGTACTCCTGGGACCATATAGTGCCTTTTAAAAAAATATTCTATCACCTGAAAACATTTAAATGTAAAAATGCAATCTGTCAATGGAGGTAAGTTTTGTTTTTCTCTCAATAAGGCTTAAATTTTTGAACAAATGGCACATTTATAGTATCTTAGGAAATCTAGATATTGTCATTAATCATAAGACAACCAAAATGAAATAAATTGTCCTAAGAATAATTCCCACAGTAGAATGGGCAAACAGCTAAGAGGCTACCAGAAATTGAGAATACCTTGTATTTGCAAGTGGCTGAATATCATTTGGTACACTTTCCCAACAGAAGCCCCAACTCAAAGTTTTGCTGTGGTTGGCTGGCTTGTAGAAGTACTGTGGGATGAAATTTGTGTTGACTACTTAATTTCTTTCCTTTTGATGGTATCACTCTGGAATGCCTGGGCCTCCATGCTGCTCATTCTCCAGCTCCCATAAACCGAAAATACTGATTCTCTGAGGGCTGGAGACCAAGTGTCAAAGCTGGAGGCTGATATTTTATGTCAGACATTCTATAGGGTATATTTGTTTTAAAGCATGCTTACTCCATCTCGTGGTCCCCCACACCCAATATCTGTAGGCTTCAAATATATTCTCAATTTATAATTTTATAACAGTGATTCCATAACCAATAAGAAAAGTCCTAGTCTAAATATAATGGTCATCATATTTTGAACTTTTTTGACTTAGCAGTAATTAAAGACTGGAAATGACAGACTTCCAGTGTGTGCATGTCACACTTTTTACAGATTGATTTTGTAAGACAACTCACTGCACCCAATGTCTGTATTGCCTTCCAAAGAGGAAAGAACGCAGACTGAGAAGCCAATTGTTCAGCTTTCTGGTGCTTTAACTGTAACTTGTACTGGTCTTTGGAATTATGCACAAACATGAAGTCAAGGATAACATCCCCCAATTTTTGCTTTTACCATATCTATCATGCCAATAAAAAAAGATCCAGTGCACTTACATCTGGCAACATTCAAGAAGGAAAGGAAGGGAGGCAGTTCAAAGCATCTGTTTACTCCATCCAAATGTATTTGGATGCAGGTATGCTCAGCCTCTGTCTTTTACAATAAGAGTCAAACCACAGAGCATATACAGCAATTAGGGCTGAGATCATCCAGATCTATCTGAAACATTTATAGACAAAAGAAAAGTTTCAAAGGGAGTAGGAATTAAAAGGTTAAGGGGGAGGGGGGAGACTGAATTTCCATGAGAAATAGTGACTTAAATTCACACAGTAAACATTTCATTGATGTTTTGTTTTGTTTTGTGATTTATGATCTATAGATGCAGCTCCTTAAGTTTCAGATGGCAAAGATCTGAGATACATAATTTGTGAGGCTAAGGGAGGTGGACCAAAATTTATTAGATGTAACTTTCATTAAAATAGCAGTTGATCTCTACTTCACGTTCTTAAACCTGAAACTTTTTGCACTTGCTTTGTACCAAGTTTATAAAGTTTTGTCCTCATTTAGGAAGAAATCTACCAGTGTTTTGCAGAGAAATTCACTGGCATCATCAAATGGTATTACAACAAAACACTATACCCAATAAATGCATTTCTTTCAGGCAAAAACATTACAAGTGAAAATGTCAACAAAACCATTCATTTCTGTTAACCATTCTTCAATCTGGAATAAGTAGAAATGTATGGAACCAGGAATTTTAAACAGTGTTTTTAATTGAAAATAAAGCTAAAGCATGCTTTTCAACAGTGCAAATTTCCATAATTTTGATTTACTGCTTCCATCATCACAACATAGTACACCAGCATGGCCCTTACCAAGGGCTAGACCCTAGCCATTTGCATGTTGAACTACTTTGATTTTAAGTGCAAACATAGATAGTCACCTCTGATTGTCACTTGCAGTAGAAACTCTCCTGCTCTATACACAGGATGGTCTGAAAACAGAAGTTTAGAGAGATGCAGAAAAAGTAAAATGTAATAAAATCCAAGTGCCTGAGTTCTAGTACCAGAAAGCCCTGAAATAACTGTTATTTTTGATTTGGGCTTTCTTATAACTCTGATTCATTTTACTTTTCTTGGGAGTTTTTAATGCTTTGACACCATGAGGAGTCAGACCATAAAATATCCTGCTCTAAAGAGAAATATTTTAATTGTTTTGCAAGTTTGAATTTTAATTGTTTTGCAAGCTTGAGGAGTCATGTTCAGACTACAAGGTAAGCAGGACGAAGGTACTAGTCACCTTATTTAAAACCTTTGGGTGACAACACAAAAAGGACTCTTCCAATTGCAAGGAGTGGCTGTAAAAGTAAAATCACGCCCTTTACAAAAGAAATACAATCTCATATTTATTTTACTCAGTATATATGAGGCAGCTTTTACCAGCATTCAATCAGGACTCCCCAATCTTTCCACTCAAAAAAGGAAAAATTAAGTGCAACTACTTTTGGAGAGGGAATGAGGGGAGAAAAGGAAAAAGATACCCCACAAAGGAGCTCCAGAAGAGAACATTTTGGGCTCACAGAAACTTCTTGCTACCTCACTGTGTAACTATGTAACCTAACAAACTTTCACTGAATGAAGTTACACTTTCAGGTCTGAAATCTAGTGCATAAACTTAATGGCTCATTGTAATATTTATTATTCAACCTTTTGACATTTATTTGTAGCAGTTGAATTGAGGTACCGGGTGCATTATTAGCATTAAAACAGTAAAGTGTTCCAGCTCTACCGTAATAACTGAGTTTTACTTGAGTCTTTAGCCTGAAGTAGTCTGTGGAATGTAAACCAAGCATTCTCCCACCCCACCCCCACCCTACTAAAAAAAAAACAACACAAACCCACAATGGGAAAAAAAAAAAGTAATCCGATTTCTGTCTTCAAAATGTGATAAACCAGGACTCCAAAAGGGGTGTCACATATTAATGGACTTGTACAAACCATCCTGTGCAGTTTACAACAAAAGGAAGGTAATATGGTTCAAGAAAATATCTTCCAAAACACTTTTATGAATTAAATTTCCTGAATTTGTGACTAGGTGGAAGAGGTATTGCAGAACCGCCCAGCTGCCATTTCCAGATAGGATGGGCCTTGTGAGGAGGTTGGGAATCCTTAGTGGTGTTTAAGGAATATGCAGGCCACAAATCCCCATCCTTCCCAATAGTGAGTGATGGTGGACAAGGAAAATTTGCCATGAAATTAAATGGCCTTTTCACTGCTGACGCTACATTGCTGGCTACCTTTTTGCGTCTGTTTATAACTGTAAAATCATCCAGTGTTCCTTCATGTGTCTCAGTTTTACCTGTAGGACGAGGACTTCTAGCTGATTTCAAATTTGGTTTGACTGTAGGTGTCTGAAGTACAGGTCGCTTTCCCAGGACTAGTGTCCGGTAATTTTTTCTCACCCTGGCACCAAATTTATATTCCCCATCCTCAGGTTTTGGAGAACCTAAAGTGCATGAAAGGCCCTGTCTCAGAGCCAGTGGCTTTAAGGAAGGAGTTTCTTCTTCAGGGCATGCAAACCCTTCCTTGGCTGTGGTTAGCAAGGCATCCTCCTCTTTACTCCCAGTCACACTGTAAAACTCACCCTTTGTATCATTGCACTCGCACTTTAGCTTATTTGTAATAAGGTCAGGTTCATATTCTTCATTAGCACTATTGTCTTCGACTTTGATTTTAATATTGTGCAGAAGTGGCAGTGTCTTGTCGCCTGTGTCAGTGCAGGGATTCTCTGCTTTCGTTGCTGCTGCTGCATCCACTCCAGGATCAGTCTGCAAAGAGGGCAAATCCGTAGCAAATTCAACACAAGGGGGGATTTTGGAATCTTTTTCTGACTTTGCTGCTGCTAGTGAAGAATCACTGTTGAAGAACCTAGCCGCTATTGTGTTGTTATCTGCACAGTGTGCAGTAGGAGTTGCTTGCAGGCATTTCCTCGTTTCTCGGAGTATTCTTTGTTGTGGAAATACATTGTTTGTCTTTGGGCTAGGTGAAGAGTCCCCCTCTGCCAGGCAGTTAATTGTCAGGTCAGTTCTCTTTACAGTGCTGGAAATTTCAGAGTGTGGGAATGTAATCGCAGATACCCTATCGTTCCTTATCTCTGTGAAACAACTCCCCAGGCTGGCTGAGCAGTACACCGGAGAGGGTTTGGGGGCCCAGCTCGGCAGAGGCCATTCCTCCGCTGACTCCGCTTTGACACTACTCTTGAGGTCGGGAAGTCGGCCGGCATCCTCGAAAGCAGCGGGGTGGGTTGCAGCGGCGGCGGAGGCCAGATGGTACAAGAAGTTGGCCTGCGCCTGCACGCTGGGCGGCTTGCAGAAGCTGGTGCGCCTGAAACGGATGCTCTGCACTGACACTTGGCTGGAGCCAGAGCTGGAGTCCGATTCCGAGGATGAATCCTCCTCCTCCGAGCTGACTTCACTGGAATCCGAGGCCCCAGTGACCCCCTCCTCTTCCTCCTCCTCTTCCTCCTCCTCCTCTCCCTCCTCCTCTTCCTCCGAGGACACAGAGTTGCTGGAGCTGGACAAACTGGAGCCAAAATCGGAGTCGTTGGCTGCGTGGTCCGAGTAGGAGCTAGACTCCGAGTCGCTGCTGCAACTCTCGGGAAAGCTGTCCAGATGGGGCTGCGGCCGGTGGTGATGAGGCGGGTGGTGACTCTGCAGCGGCTGCTGGGCCCGGTGGTGGTGGTGGTGGTGGTGATGGTGGTGGTGATGGTGGTGGTGGTGGTGGTGGGGAGGTGGGCAGAAGCTGTTAACCAGATGAAACCTTTCCAGACAAGTGGCCCCGGCGGCCGCCGCCGTGGCCGCTTTGGCTTTGTAGGACCTGGGCAGCAGCAGCAGGCGGCGTACCCAGGAAGGATAGGGGGTGGCCATAAGGTCAAGCTTAATTATGCTAAGAGGGCTCTGCCCTCTAAGCTGGGACTTGTTTATGGCTCTGCCACAGGTCAATCTGAGGCTTAACTCTAGAGCCTCTCCCTATACTTATGTAGTAGTATTCC